ACAAATATATTTGTATAAACTAAATATAAAAAAAAGTATTTTACAAAGTTAATCATCATCAAAGTGTAACTTTTAATGTCAGAGCAGAAGACAAGGTTGTTTGGCAAGTAAGTTTTCAGAAAAGTTAGATATGAAATTTTAAGAATTCTGTTACAGTTCAATTATTGTTGAAGCAAGTTTTTGGTATATATATATCTATATTTTTTACACTGTTTTTGTTGTTCTGCTTAGATCTGAATGTTTCACTGGAGAATCTGTCTGAATGTTGGATCTGCTATGATTCTGAAAGACAGGATGTTGGGCCTCTAATCCAGCCATGTCTGTGTAAAGGGGATATGTCTGTAGTTCATCACGACTGCTTAAAAAAATGGCTAGTTCAAGTAATACTAATTTTCTGTAATACTATCTTAATTTGTAATTTTTATGTTTTTTAATGATAAAATGTAGATTTGAGATTAACTTTAATGTCTAATTTTGTCTTAAATGAAGTTTTAGCAGAACAGTTTAGGTTTTAACTTGTTCCAAACTATTTTATTTATTAAACAGGTATCAGTTTTCTTGATAAGAATGAATTTTTCTTAATCAGTATTCATAATTTTGACATTTGAGTGAAACTCAAATATTAAGTAATTTTAAGTGTAAATTTACTATTTTTAAATGTATGATTATTGTACAGATTTATAAAATAATACAGAATGCTGCATGTACTTTTTAAAGATTTTAAATCTTAAAAATATTTTCAGTCATCAAATAATCCAGACAACATGAGATGCAAAGTCTGTAAAGTAGAAGTAAGTATTTTTATGTCTCATTACATAGTTAAAGATAATAAATATTATACTTGTACATATGGTATTAATGCAGCAGAAATTGTTCAAGCAAATGCATGATATTTGTCTCTGGTAACATACCACATTAAGTGTCACAAGACGTATCATGTGGACGGTGTCTTTAAAATGCATTGTTCATCAATAATAATTACTTTTATTTCCCATTGTGTGGGAGATAAATATGACTGGAGAATAAAACCATTGGTCAAAATAACTAAGTTTTAGTTAAAGTCATGGGTCTTTGTGAGATAGCTGCAAAATTATATCAGTAACTTCAAAATGTTCAGTATTATCTTCAAATGATACCTTAGAAAATTAGCTCTAATTGATAAACAACATAGTATATGAAGCAGACTTTTGTAGTTTTGAAAACTTTATTAAAAAGTTCTCCTGTCTTTTAGGATCATCATCTGGTCAAATAGTTTACACACACAAGAAGAAAACTTTATACATGCTTTCAATTAATATATATCGGGTTCATTAAGTTCATATATAAATTGAATTTCTAAAGAAAGTGCTTATATTTTTATTTATGGATCACACTGTTCTTCCTAAAATGTATTGCGAGTAGAATACCTGGACTTGTGGCTGAACCTGTGGAGGCTGTCTGTTGGTTTGTTGCTTGAGTGGCTTCATGTGATGGAAATACATTTATATGATTTATGTCCTTTTCTGTCAATTATCTAAAATATATCAAAGTTCTGACTTTAAATGGATGGCTGTGATCCTTCATCTTAGAGGTGTTATTGATGTTACCAATGTATTGTGTATTGCCAGGTGTTAAGGGCATGCCTGGGTACATGTTCCTATTATGTTAAAAACCTGTATGTGCAGGTTTAATAAAGTGCTGGCCCTTTTACTTCTCTTATAACTGGTCCTTCCCTAGACTTTGTTGTTGGTTTAAGTGGCTTTGACTATTTCTGGCATGTCAGATCATATACTGTAAAGTATCTTTCATTTTTTTTTTAATCTAATTGTTGGTGTTCAAACTGAGCTGCTGCTTTGCCATTTCAAATACTTCAGTCTCCTGGGGATTCTTGTATATTATCTTGGGAAAGGAGTAAGCATAGATGTCTTCTAAACTTTAATATTTTACAAAAATGTTTTAAATAGCTACTAATTTTTTATATCATTCATCCATCTATGCTCATCACTCTTTCTTTCTTTCTTTTTTTTTTGCATTACTTAGGAGGCCTGTGACATAAGGGACCAATCAGTGCATTGTACCAATGTTAAATATGCCACTGTTTGGCACTGTGTTTGACCACAGAAAATAATAGTGTGACAGGTTATAGCCTTGATGAGTTAGGTTATGAAATCACGGAGAGGTGCCACCATAAAAAGTACATATACTGGAGAAAAGGACACCAAATCTCATAAAGATACAGATTATTACCAATTTAAACTGTAGCTAATTAGAAAACAACCTGATTGAGATTTGGAAACTTGTTAAACACCCACAACGTATTACACAATAACATTTTTGTGTGCAAGTTTCTTCTGAGATTAGTTTTCAATTAGTTTCGATGCAATTAGCTTGTGTTGTGTATTAAGACACTTTAGTTGTTTTTTCAACTTCTCTAAGTGAAACTAATTACTATTTTTATTTGACCAGTACAAGCTTGAGAAAGGAACTGTCTGGGTATCTAGAGGACTTACCAAAACTCAGTGGTTGCAGACGTCTGCTATAGTCATATTCATGTGCAGCACTATTGGAGGAGCCTATTTGTTGGTTAAGATGTTTGATAATGTTGCCATTCGGACAGCAACAGTAGGAATAGCACTGTTGGTTCAGTGTGTATGCATGAGGTTAGTTATTCTATTATTAAAATAAAACCTCTCTCTCTTTATTTACTATATCTGAATCAGAGTATTGCTATTTGCCATCAGAAAATGCTTTTTATGAAATTTGAGAAAGTTTCCATAAAGTTTCTGTTTCTTTAAGGTCTGTGGTTCTAAAAATATTACATAGTATAATGCTTTGGATAACATGTAGTATATTGTACTTTAGAAAAAAATTAGTGAAAAGTTGTCCAAACTGACATAACTTTAAATTTCTTTGTTACTTTCACCTGTTTCTTGCAGAATCGTTTAGTCTTTACGTGTATCAACATAGCTATTCTTTTAGAATCCAAGTTTATATTTTTAATAGAGGAGCTGATTTATGAGTCATGACCAGTTGCTTATGCATTTTCCACCTATATTCAAAGTATTTTCTCATGTTTAAATTTTATATCTTGCTTCTCAGAATGTAGGAAGAACATGTTCATTTCAATGTTAATAGTACATGGTTTGTCTTCTAGTGGCTAATTGCTAAGCTTATAATGCTAAAATTTATGAGGGTTAATTTTCAAGGTGGGCACAGCACAGATAGCCCATTATACTGATTTGTGCTTAACAAAAAACACATACCAAATGGCTTAAAAAATTAAAAGTTAAAATTTCAATAAACCACATCGACTAATCTAACTGATAATATTGTCTCAGATATTTCCAAGCTTTAGAGCTCTGACATGCAAAAATAAAATATGGGTTAAAACTCACGTACATAATGTTTTAAATGATTTTTTTATACTATTATTTGTATGTTTATGTTGCATTTATTACTGGTTAACCAAAATTTATAACTGCTTATATATGTGTGCAGGCTTCTTGGGTTAAATTTCTTGACTGCATACCATCAAGCCATGTTCTCAACAGTAAGTATACTGGAACACAAGCCAGAAGGTGCTACTACAGTATCAGGTGCACAGACCAAAATGGTCTGTGATGAGCAACTCAATAACACAGAGACTGAAGTACCAAATGAAAAAGCTTTATCAAGTACTGTGTTAAGTCCATATGGTGGTGGTGTGGCTGTGGAAAGCGAGGTTATCTGATTATTATAAGTCTGTGATATTGAAACACTCTTAATTTAAAAAAACAAAAATTACTGAAAAATATGGTGGTGGTGTGGCTGTGGAAAGCGAGGTTATCTGATTATTATAAGTCTGTGATATTGAAACACTCTTAATTTAAAAAAACAAAAATTACTGAAAAATTTTTTCAGTATCTTTGAAAATATTTAACTACTGGATCAAACAATATAAAGGAATGTTTTTTTCGTCTAGCAGTAAAAAAATTAAGTAAATTTTTTTAACACGTCATCACTTCTTATGAATATTCAGAGAGGTGTTAAAACTTCATGTACATTCCTACAATAGACAAATTTTGCAATAATTCAGTGTTATTTTATTGGTTTATTTGTGTACAGGAAGATAATTTGCGAGATAAATTCCATTTGTAGAAGAAACTGTACAGTGAAGGGATTGCTCAGTTGAAGGCAGCTGAGCCAATCATCTAAGTGTTTGTTTTACTGTAATACGTGGCAGATAATTACTTAAATCTCAGTTTATCTTTTGGCTAAAAAAAGTGTTCATTACAAAATGTTATAAAGTTACATATTTAAAGTGTATCATTTTTATTAAAAGTATTTAAATTGTTAATATATGTATAGAAATGTTTAGTTCCAAGTTGATGGGTATGAAAGTACAGTGATAGCTGATGTGTTAAACTTTATATTAGCACAAAAGATACTTGTGAGTATACAATGTGACTACTTCATGTGGCACCATGGCCATAAGTGGCATGCCCACACTATCATGCGAGTATCACATTCGTATACCAAAACACTACTGTAATGCATGAATGTAATTTGTATGTATAAAAGTTCCAGTTAGAACATTAAAAGCTGGTAAAATATTGGAAAACAAATAGGTCTAAGGTTTTTATAAAAAAAAGTTGACTGCATATGTTTGTTTTCCACATTTTTCTTAATTTGTTCATTGTGACTTGAAATCAGAGGTGTGTAAAAAATAGCATTTCAGTCAGATCTTTTGTCTTCCAGAAGTTACTGCCCAATAAGCATTTCATTCAATTCAAATTAAATGCAGAATTTGTTTTTTAAAATGCAAGTTATTAAATACCTCTGATTATTAAGAGAAGTGTAAAAAAAACATCTGCAGTTAAATTGTTTTATAACAATTTTAGGCCTATTAGTTTTCCAATATTTCACCAGCTTTCAGCATTTAAGCCATAACTATTATAGTATGATACTTTTTATATACATAGTATTTTATAGAATAATTTTTTCATTATCCAGCCTAAGTGATGAGTTCTGGTATTGAGCAAAAAACATAGTGTCAGTGACTTGTGGGAAATAATATATAGATCTGAAATGCGTTTTATTATACACCCTTGATTTTGAACTGCAATGAACAGATTGAGAGGAATATAGTAAAACAAAAATCTGCAGTTAATTGTTTTTATAAGTTATTTGTATCTACATGGTTGAGATGTGGTTAAGTCTTTTTTTTTCATGCTAAATGGCATTATCATTAGATCACCAATCCTAATATTTTTGAGTATGTGAAAGATCATTGTAGAGAAATTTAGAAATTCTGAACTTGACTATAAAGATTAAAATAACAAATACAGGCAAATCTTTAACCAGAAGTGATTGTTTGAAGTACAAGTATGTGTGTGTGTGTTTGTATGTAACTATTACTTATTGCACATTGAGATGTCATAAATATGCATAATATTATTAATTTTATAATTAAATTTACATTGATGGTTAAACTAGAGCTGGGCAATTAAGTTGATGTAATCAGTTACCTATGAGCATCAATCAATGTAATGACAATATTCATGTAATTGAACTTAGTGTTTCCAGTAATTAATGTATTTGATTATTCTGTCTAAGTACCATATATACTTGTGTAAAAGTCGACATAGTTTTTCTAGCAACCTAACAGAGCAACTGCTCACCCAAGGCCAGATCACACTTTATACCAAAAACTTGTGAAAACAAACAAAAATGCATAATTCTACCAGCTCTACTTGGTCCCAGGTACCTACCAC